CTCATTTGGTCTAGTCCTCGCCTTTTATCCCATGAACTGGGGGAGAAATGCCGTAGCGAGGTCATTCTAACTTTTTATAGATCTTTGATGCAACCTTCTAAACCATTACTGAGCTTTGTCTCCTAAGGTTAAAAGGAAAGCACGACACATGATGGCGTCTCCAGCTCCCTGCAGCTCCATCCAAGAGGCATATTTGTCTAAATGACTGAGAGGGTCTCCTTCCCCATCATACCCAGTCAGCTGTGGCATCTTCAGCTTTTCAGGCAGTGGTTCTGTTATGATGTCCTCACTAAAAGGTGAATGACGTTTTGTAAGATACTCTTATGTGTTTCCTTTGTTTTTAGCGTCCAGGTCGGTTATGCATTTCTTGAGGGCACTCATCTCGGACTCCGGTAGTCCCACAAGGTGGTTGTTACGGGGCTCGTCATGCTTACTTGTAGGTGTAAAAGGGTATTGGAAGCCCAATCTGTTGAACACACTACTTGTTCTTCTGATTGTTAGTTTTGTTACCATATGAGAACTTTTGACTTCTTCAGTTCGACTTTTGGAGGATTCCTCGCTTGAAAATTGTAGGGTCCTTCTAGTGGAAAGTCGCCGGTTTTTTCTCGGCAAAGAGATTCCACCTCGATATCCTGTGGCAGATTCCGACCTTGGTTTTGTTCCAGCTTACTGGCAATGTTTGTCAATTTCTCAATGGCTTTCTTCATTGTCGCCATTTGAGGGTGGATTGTCTCATTTCGACCTCGCCTTTCAGGATTTCTTGGATCGTTGGTCTGTTCGGGATGTGTATGGGATTGATTTTCAGATATTGAAAATTCATCCATGATACTATTTTATGAATTTTGTGAAGAGATGGGGCTATTTTTCAAGTTGGGGCACTCCTTTTAGCGCCAAACTGTTGACGTTGAAAATTCATCCATGATACTATTTTATGAATTTTGTGAAGAGATGGGGCTATTTTTCAAGTTGTGGCCCTCCTTCTAGCGCCAAACTGTTGACGTTGAAAAATGTATAGACGATATTCAAGCCAACTTAGGGAATAAACACGAAATTGATTGATCTTTTACCAACGGAATACAAGATTATTACACAATCATACTCTTTTTCCCCATTATAGGAGATATTTGAAATATGAAGAGAATGAGAAAGTGTCTCTCATTTCTCGTCCCCCCTTCTCCTTTTATAGTGGGGTAATGCATGTACATTGTATCTCATGTCATGTCAATCTGCAATACTGAGCTAAATAAGTACATATGTTGGCGTAATAGGATTGGTTGCCGAGTTCGGCTCCGTCAGTTGATCATGAGTTACTGGTACAGGTCCCCAACAATTAATGCATTACTTAAGAAGGGATGCTAAGATTTCCGATTGGAGGATAATATGGGCTCTGACAGAAGACATTTCCAAGTGTATCCTCCTGATGGATAGCCCGTATATCATGTCAGTGATTCTTAATCATTATTCATTATTTCACCTTGAAGGACTACACAAGCTTCTTGAGTAACCCACTCAAGACCCAAACTGACATAGCATATTTGAGCTCACATCATTATTCCCTTACTAGGTACACCAATCCGAACTAAGTGACCTCGAAGGTCGGTGTCAACAATACATAAATCATAAGCGATCAATGAAATAAGGTGTAGTAGCAATGTAACATTTTTTATTAACACTGATCTATAAATTAGAGGTGTACTATATAACACCATTAAAAAAATTTAGACTTTCAATAGCAGCTTGTTTTCTTCTGTTATATAATTTTAACAACTAAAAAAATAATTTTTTTTTTTTTAACAATATCAATATTTTTGTTTTAGATTAAGAGTCTGTTGAACTGTGGTTGATTTCATCCTTAATGTTTTGATCATAACAAATAAGATTAATATTGTTTCTAACAATTGATTTTGAGTTATAATAGTTCAATGTTAAAATCAATCAAGTATTGTCAAAATCAGCACATTATAAATTAGATTCGAAATGAAGATCAAAGTAAAAGTTAAGCTTTCAAGTCAAATTATTCGAGACGGGAGCTTAAAATATCAAAGTCAAGACTGTCAAATCGAGCTCATAAAGAAGGTCAAGATCGAAGTCTAGCATTAAAGTCAAACGTCAAGAAAGATCAAGACCAAGAGTTTAAGAGCCAAACATAAAAGAAATTTCGAAGCAAGACCAAGGACTAAGCTTTCGAGATCATACGTAAACGTATAACACTTTGATCTTTAGTAATAAATGACAATAGCGCAAAATTCATTTTGTGCATAAAGAGTTATTTTCATATCACTTGTATAAAATATTTTTGATCAAAAGTAAGATTGGTTTTTCAAAGTGATATTTGAACTTAGATCATATCTTCTTTAATAAAAAAAGTCAACGGTCAATCGGACGTTCGATTTTACAGAAAAACTTCTATCAATTCGGACGTTCGGATGGATAAATCGGACGTCCGATTCATCCCCAAGGTCAATTTTTTGACCGTTTTGACTGAAACGACTAGTTGATCGTCCGAATGAGTTCCGGACGTCCGGATAGGCCGTCCGATTCAGTAGAATATTGGACAGTTTGACTGCTATAAATACCGACTCACTTGCCAGTCATTTTAACATTTAAGAGCATTCAAATGAGATACTTTTGAGCAAAATTATATTGATTTCTCATCTCATTTATTATTATCAAATCATTTAGCTCAAAAAAACTTTTGATCAAATTAATTTTTAAAAATCTATTCATCAAAATTTTTCATTTGAAAAATATTTTGTGAACTTACATTTTTATACATTGCATAAATTTTCTCCACTTCTTCATATTAAAACTTTGATTGAATCAAATTTGTAAACATCATATTTATCAAAATTTCTAATTTCTCCCTTAGTACTTAATTTATCACAAATTATTCATTGAAAGAGATATATTTTTGAAGAAGATTTTTGCACTTATACTGTATAAACTTTTCTTCTTCTTCTTCATATTGAAATTTTGATTGATTGAACTAAACTTGTAAAATCATCATATTCATCAAAGTTTCTCATTTCTCTATTAATACTTAATTTATTATAATCATCCATTAAAAGAGAGATATTTCTTGAAAAAAATTTTGAACTTACATTGTATTTATTTCTTCATTTTCTCATTGAAATACTTTGATTGATTGAATCTAATTTTTGACTATCATATTCATCGAAAAATATCATCTGACACTTCAGCTATCATTTATTACTATTCATTGAAGTATTAGTCTCTTTTANCCTCTTAATACTTAGTTTGTATTATTTATCAAGAGAGGAATTTCATTGTAAAATCAATTTGATGAAGTGTAGGTCGTGTTGAAGTCCCGTAAAGATTAACATTGTATAAGGATTGGTGCTCCTTGTTGTAAGTCACCGTGTGGGTCATATTGAGGTCCCGTAAAGCTCAATAGTGTGGATCGTGTTGAGATCCTGTAAAACTCAACATTGTATAAGGATCGATACTCCTTGTTTGTAAGTCACCGGAAGCGTTTTAAATGGTTGGATTGCACCATAAGTTAATCAACATAGTGAAAAGGTCTTACTCGTGCCGGAGAGTTTGGTAACGAAGGACGTAGATCATTATTTTGGATCGAACCTCCACAATTATATCGTTTCCATCATCTCTCCCTTTTACTTATCACTTTTATATTTGTACAATTATTTGAATTAATCTATTTAGTCTTTACTTGTTTGGATTTAGATTAATTTTTCGAAAAAGTTTTAAAAATCAATTCACCCCCATTTTGGTTAGTTATTCTTGAGCTATCAAAGTCTCATTATATATATAATGTTTCGAATTTCATAAAATATAACTTTACTTAAAAACATTATAAAGTCCAATGATCACTCAAAATCTTTATAAAGTTCAATGAGTAAACCATGGTGGAGGTATACGTTTAGTGGCTAATGAAATATGATGAGTGAGTAATGAAGTACAACGCGTTAAAATTTAGTGACAATTCAAAATTATTTTAAAATTCAATGACTTATGAAACATGATGAGTGAATTATGCAGTGCGACTATTAAAGTTTAGCAATTGTTCGGAGGTATTTTGAAGTCCAATGAGTAAAACGAGACGAAATTATATATTTATAAACATTTAACTCTATAATTAAATAATAAAATTCGTTTATTCATACACAAATATTTATTATTTGTTCTAAATATTTAGCTCTTGTTAGATCCCCATTTTTTTAAAAATATATTTGTTTCTAGCTTATTTTCACTCACACATTTTTCAATAAAATAATATTACACGCAACTCAATAATTTTTTCCTTCATTTTTAGCGACTGTTTGAGCTCCATTTTTAGCCAAAAAAGCATTATGGAATAGTTATTTGATGAAAAATGTGTGGTTAAAAAATAAGAATTTTTTTTATACGCATATAATTTTTTTTTATTGAAAAATGTGTGAGTAAAAATAAAAGACCGAAAAATGCTTTTTGAAAAAAAGAGAAACAAATACACTATAAGAATGTATTTTGGAATAGTAGATTTATTGAAATTGTGTAGTTAATAAAAAAAAGTTTTGAATTTATGTGTAATATTATTTTATTGAAAAATGTTTGATTGAAAAAGAGCGAGAGAAAATATATTTTGAAAATAATTTGGATCAAGGATACACTTGTTTTTCGTCAATCTATGGTTCAAAAGTGCATTTTAAAAAGTGGGGTGGTACACCTGCACATTACACTCACTTCTCCTCCCCCATCTCTCCCAATTTACATTTCTAACAGAACCGAACGCACGGCGTATGCTCTGAGTTTCCTCTTCACCTCTGTTTCTCTCTGTTCACAGTTCCCGCCATTGTTCACTCTTGTTAAAACCCTAATTTCGGTAAAGGTACTATATAATTTATTTTTTATTTTATTTTTTCGCTGATTGGATGTGAAAGCTATATTTTTTGATTTGATCAGTCGATCTGTTTTGTGTAGGGATAATAATTGAATTTAAATTATCGGATAAAGCTGTGTTTTTTCGAAGGTGAGAATTTATGTCCCATAATCAATCAAGGGGTGACAGGACCGAGTCTGGACAGTACAAGAAAACCGGCCGATCCAGTAGTTTCAATCAGCAGCGCCACTTCTCTGGCGGTTTTAAGGGCGGCGGTGGTGGAGGTGGAGGCTCCTCCCCGGCCACTCCCGCTAATCCCTCTATCTCCAACCGCAGGTACATATGTATGTGCATGCGTATATTTTGTATGAATTTGTCTTGCACAATATATATGTACACCCACACATGTGCATGGTGTATGGATGGATGTACTTGCGAATGAGTGCTTTGTTTTGTTTATACATGGAAACTAGGTTTTTTGTTTCTGGATTATGTTTATTTTGGATGTTAATTAATTTTTGGGCATGCAGTATTAAGAGGTCTAATAGCAATGTACAAGGGGGGCAATCTAGGGTGCACAGTCCGAATGTTATCCAGGATTCAAGCCATTCATTCCCATTACCTGTTGTACAGAATGGCGCTCAACGACATCAGCCAACACCTGGTATGATGAGAGTGGTAGTGATATTCAGATGAGACCAGTCTATTCGTAGTATTAAAATCTGAAAATTGCATAAGGAGACTTAAATTTATGACGGGATTGTCTTGCTTGAACGTGTTTAGTTGTTCGATCTTTCAGCACTTTGATGGGCGTAGTTATGGCAGTTTTTCTTTATTTCCATTTTTGAGGATTTTTTAGTTGTTAATTTTAGTGGCTGTTATTTTAGGAGTGTCTGATGCATTAGTTACGAGTGTAAATGTCACCCCAATCAACGCCCCAGCTCAGAGAATCACCCAAGCTGTTCCAAGAGCTCCATCTACCAATGCTTCTACTGCAGCTCCATCTACCAGTGCTTCTACTGCAGCTCCATCTACCAATGCTTCTTCTGCTAGCTCTGATGCCAACAGCTCTGCAACACCTGGAAAGGGTATGGCAACCAACCTGTACTTGATATGCTTTTGGAGCTATCTATAAGCATTTTGATTTAATTTGAATGTTAGAGAATAGTAAGTCACTTCATGATATTTTAACATCTATTTCTCTAGTTTTACTTTCTGTAACCGTAGTTGATTATTTGCTGCTATTATTTTTGGCCCTTAGCTGCAGTAGATGCTTCCGGCTCATTTTCTCTGCAGTTTGGGTCTATAAGCCCTGGATTTATGAGTGGCATGCAGGTACTGTCAATTGTGTAAATTCAATATCCTTTTTGTTTCCACTTATCAGTTTGTATCGCCAGTTTCTTTACTTTCATTTTTTACGATACCACATTCATTTTCCCCCGTGTTTGTAGATTCCTGCACGAACAAGCTCAGCCCCACCAAATTTGGATGAGCAGAAAAAAGATCAGGTTAGTGGAGTTTCTCTTCTATCCAGGTGTTCAACCAATAGTAGATTAGAGATGTATGTGTTCCTGTACTTAGAAAGAAGGTACTCTTTACTGGATACAAGGGAAAGTCGCTGCTCTAAATCTCTGAGAGGTGGTCTCATTGGTCATTTTGTGTGCCATTTTTCAGGAAAAATTTATGTTTTTAGAGTTGCCCCTTCCCTCACATGTCTATAATTCAAATACATATGTGTATATTACCTCCATAAAACTTGCACGAACGCATTATTGCTATGTCATTTTTTGAGTCAAGAACTACAACAAAATTATCTTTCAACAATCAATACTTAGTTGATAGTAAGCCTGTTTCAACGATAACTTTGTTGTCAGATTGCACACTGAGGTGCTGACCTTTCCCTGATTACTATTTTCAACAGGCCTGTAACAACTCTTTAAAAGCTGCACCTGCAGTGCCAACTCCGACCATTCCCAAACAGCGACTGCCGAAAAAAGACACAAGGGTCCTTGATCAACCCAACACCGGTGAAGCTCAGCCAGTATCCAAGTTTAAAAGGGATGTGCAAGTTTCAGCTGCACCTCCCGCAACTCAAACTCAAAAACTGTCTGTACATCTTATGTCTGGGATGTCCACGCAAATGCAATTTCAACAGCCACAGGTTCCAGTTCAAGTTCGTGCCCCTAGTCCTCAAATTCAGTCGCAGGCCATGCCAACCTCAGCTTTGCCAATACCAATACAAATGGGGCTGTCTATTCCTTTACCGATGGGAAATCCACCAATGTTTTTTTCAGGTCTTCAACCACCACACGTGATGCAGTCTCAAGGATTGAGTCATCAGGGTCAGAACTTGAACTATTCATCGCAAATGGGTCATCAGATGTCCCCTCAGTTGGGTAGCATGGGAATTAATATGGCCCCACAATTTCCTCCACAACAGGCTGCAAAGTTCACGGCTTCTCGTAAAACAGTAAAAATTACTCATCCTGAAACTCATGAAGAATTGAGACTTGATGGGTCATCAGGCGTGAGGTCACACCCTAATGTGCCACCTCCTTCACAGCCTATTCTATCATTTCCTCCTAATCATCCAATGAGCTATTATGCTAAATCATATAATTCTGGTTCCCTCTTTTTTCCACCTCCAAGTTCCGTTCCGCCAAATAGTTCCCAGATTCTTCCCAGTTCTCAGCCACCGAGGTTTTTTAATCAGGTTAGTCTTCCTTCCTGATGATTGCAACTGCTCTTACATAATTCGGTATATAAAACCTGGAGACATTTGCTCGATATTTCACGGTCATGAAGTTTGGAGAGGGCGATATTTTTATTGAATAATCTCTTTGCCTGGATAATTGCAATGCAGGTTACAGTAAAACCAGCCTCTGGCTCTCATGTGGATAAGGGCACAGTGCCATCTAGTGAAAAGGGAGAATCTATGAAACCTTTAAGCCCCCGCGGAGAAGTTTCACGTCGTCCTCAAAAGGACTTTGAACCTTCATCTTTAAGCTATTTGAAGCAGTCAAATCCTAGTGTTGAACCATCATCTAAATCAGTTTCCATTGCCAGTAAACAATCTGCTACTGTGACTGGTTCTGTTACTATGGAGACTGAAGGGCACAAAATGTTTTCTGCTTCCCTGGCTCTTGTTGATGACATTGCATCTTCACCATCCAGTGGTGCTGGAGATGCTAGAAATAATACATCTGATGGACCTGACTCCATTACAGATGAACACAAAAAATCGAGCAACATAGGACAACAGGATCAGGTATTTTATTGGTTATTTTTCAGTCCAATGGTATCATATATATTGCCAGCTTTACCATGATTTGTGAGTTGCGCATCATTGTTGCAGGTTTGTGCACAATCTCCATCTGCTTTGTCTTCTCAATTGCCCGAACCTGAAACTTTGGAAGCTAAAACAAGTATTTTATCACGAACTAGTGTGATGTTGGAAACTGCAAAAGAGTCATCATTAACAACAACAGCTACTGCTTTGGAGGCTTATGATTCAAAAAGAGATAGGGTTGCTGAAGGCAAGACAATTCAGTCATCAAATATTTTAGACACAAATAATGTGAAAAACACACAATCAAAGACTGAAACATTGGGAAAAAAGGACAGAGGAGAAGTAATCTTGCCTGAGAGTTTCAAACCACATAACAGTAGCCCAGAGACATCTTCAAAATCTATTTCTCCAGAATCTTCTGAAATCACGTGTAATCATGAAGAGAGCTCTTCTCAGGAGGTAGTGGCCTCCAGCAGTCAAGGTAGTTCATTGGGAACTGCACAGCAAAAGTTGGAAGAATGTACTAGTTGCTTTGGAAATGTTGGTATTGCGGATGATTTAATTGCATCTACTTCCATGCTGGATAGTGGAAGTGCAATTGGTTCATCTGTTGGGGGTGATGAGACCTCAACTTCAGACAATTCTTTAAGTGTGCCTGATACTGTAAATAGTAAAGAAGCTTCTGTTACGAACTCTGATATTGCAGACCAGGATTACCATCCTGTTTCAGTTCCATTTTCTTCTGAAAGTGTTTCGAAAAGTGAAAATGAAGGTATTGAGAACAATAGCGTTGGATTGGATTCTCTACCGTCATCAGGTGTCAGAGAAAATGTTTTGTTAGAGCCAAATGCGGCAAAAAGTACTATGGCTAGGGTGAAGAAGAAGAGAAAAGAATTCTATAGAAAAGCAGAAGCTGCTGGTACAAGTTCTGATCTTTATATGGCATATAAGCCAGAAGAAAAGAAAGAAACTGATGCCCCAGCACAAAGCACAGAGAACACTTTGAGGAATACCACTGATGTGACTCAGGACATTGCTATATCAAGTCTGAAATCAGGTCAGAGTAAAGTGGAGCCAGAAGATTGGGAAGATGCTGTTGACATCTCTTCTCCAAAGTTAACCATGAAAAATGAGCAGCAGATTAATGATCTCGATGGGAATGGATTAATGACCATAACTTATTCCCGAGATTTCCTCCTCAAATTTGCTGAACAATTTACTGATCTTCCTGAGGGTTTTGAGATCCCCTCAGGTATGGCTGGTGCCTTGATGGTATCTAGTTTTAGTATTCCACATGAGTCATACCCAAGTCCTGGAAAAAAAATTGACAGGCCTATTGTGGGGTCCAGACCTGATCATCATGGAAGTGTCATGGCTGATGAGGACAAATGGAGCAAAATACCTAGCCATCTAATGTCAGTGAAGGGAGATATGCGGATGGATATTGGTTATGGGGGTAGCATGGGGTTTCGGCCTGGTCAAGGAGGTAATTATGGTGTTCTATGGAACTTACGAGCACAGTCACCTCTTCAGCATGCTGGGGGAATCCTTTCTGGGCCAATGCAGTCCTTGGGGCCACAGGGAGGTCTGCAAAGGAATAACTCTGATTCTGACAGGTGGCAGCGTGGAATTGCCTTTCAGAAGGGTTTAATTCCTTCTCCTCAGACACCATTACAGGTGATGCACAAAGCTGAGAAGAAATATGAAATAGGTAAAGTTTCAGATGAGGAAGAAATCAAGCAGAGGCAGTTGAAAGCCATCTTAAACAAGCTTACTCCTCAAAACTTTGAAAAATTGTTTGAGCAAGTGAAGCAAGTCAACATTGACAATGTTGTAACTCTCTCTGGGGTGATCTCTCAAATATTTGATAAAGCTTTGATGGAACCCACCTTCTGCGAGATGTATGCTAACTTCTGCTTTCATCTAGCGGCAGAGTTGCCTGATTTGAGTGTAGAAAATGAAAGAATTACTTTTAAGAGATTACTTCTGAACAAATGCCAGGAAGAATTTGAGAGAGGAGAAAAGGAAGAAGAAGAGGCGAATAAAGCTGATGAGGAAGGTCAAGCAAAACAATCGGAACAGGAAAGAGAGGAGAAGAGGCTCCGAGCACGGAGGCGCATGTTAGGTAATATAAGACTAATTGGAGAACTGTACAAAAAGAGAATGCTGACAGAGAGAATAATGCATGAGTGCATAAAGAAGTTGTTGGGCCAGTATCAGAATCCTGAAGAGGAAGATATTGAAGCCTTGTGCAAGTTAATGAGCACGATTGGTGAGATGATAGATCATCCCAAAGCCAAGGAGCACATGGATGCCTATTTTGACATTATGGCCCAATTGTCAAACAACATGAAACTATCTTCTAGGGTAAGGTTCATGCTGAAAGACTCAATTGATCTGAGAAAGAATAAGTGGCGACAGAGGAGGAAAGTTGAAGGGCCAAAGAAGATCGATGAAGTGCACAGAGATGCTGCTCAAGAACGGCAGGCACAAGCTAGTAGGCTAGCTCGTGCTCCCAGCAATGGGACTTTTGGTAGAAGGGGTCCACCTCTGGATTTTGCTCCTAGAGCTCCCAATCTATTATCTTCTCCTAGTCCCCAGATGAGTGGTTTCCATGCCGTACCCCTACAGCTTCGTGGCCATGATTCTCAGGATGTTCGATTGGAGGAGAGACATCACTTTGAGAACAGAAGCATGTCCGTTTCTCTGCCTCAAAGGCCCTTCAGCAATGATTCCATAACCCTTGGGCCCCAAGGTGGTCTTGCAAGGGGAATGGCTTTCAGAGGGCAGCCATCAGCACCTGGTCTTCCGTTGGTTGAGATTTCAAGTCCCGGAGATGCGCGTAGGACAGCACCTAGCCTAAATGGATTTAGTTCTATGCCAGAATGGACACCTTATGGTCAAAGAGAAGATCTCATGCCGAGATATATGACGGAAAGGTTTTCTAGCCCATCTGTTCATGACCAATCAAATCCACTAGAGCGAAGTATTAACCATCGGAATAGAGATATTAGAAATGCTGATCACAACTTTGATAGATCTGTACCTACTTCTTCTACACAAGATAGGACCCCAGCTGCTTCATCAGAAAAGATGTGGCCAGAAGAGCATTTGCAGCATATGTCCATGTCAGCAATTAAAGAATTTTATAGGTATCATCTTATATCATACCTTGTGTTTCCTGTCTGTCTGTTAACTTTTGACTTCATCTCCTACATTACCTTTCAGAACTAGCATTTGACTATGTTTCTCAGCAATTGTTAATATGCATGTTAGAAAAAGTTATATGAAGCTCATCCACAGGGCTTTGCAATTCCAATTATTGACCAAAAGATATATGGTACATATGTTCATTAATTTATGTAGCTTAGCACAAATCAGTAGGAAGGAAATGGAAGTCACTTGTTCTTGCCAAAATTTAAACTATCAAGGCCTCGTGAGGTACTCGGTACTCAACTACTTCATCAGTGCGATAATTTACATAGTTATCAAAATCCCAAGTAATAATTTGTTCTGGATCTTGCCAATGAGGTCAACCGTCGACAGAAAACAATATAACTAATTCGTGTAAAAGTTTAGCTTTTTGTTCCCTCTGCTCTGCTTGTACTCATGTCTGTCTTGTATCCAAAGTGCATGTAAGGGCTTGCTGTTGTGTATACTCTGATGAAGGATATAATGAATTATGGGTGTTGCTTTGGTCGAGATCTGGTGATAATGAATGATGAGTTTTAGGGTTCTGATGATGGGAATCCTGTGGCAGTGCTGGAACCATACCTTTGACACGGGGATAGATTACTTTTCCATCTTTTCTGGCTTTAGTCAAGTAACAATCTACTTATTTGCCATCACTTCCTCCCTTGTATGACTAGATGCTCAATCCTCGTCATACAAAAGTGAACACTTTGTTAACTTTTTGGGGGCAAGTTAACTAGATCATGCACTCGTTTGTATTTAGCTGCCAGTTTATACGAATGGATTGTTTTGTGGCAACCTTTATTGAGGATCAGTAGGTAGGGGCTGGTTGTTGCTCATGGGATTTCAAGCTTGGTGAAGTTAGCAGCATCAATTATTATACAAGACTTGTTGAGTGCCCTTTTTTTTTTTGGTTTCAGAATTAATCGAACGTGTTCAATAGTTTTAGTAGCAAATATTCACTTCTGAGCCTTTTTCTGCCACAAATTTCATTCTGTTGCTCATTAAATTTGGACAGCACTAGAACCTTGTTTCTGCATATTTTTATGAAGATGAAAATTGTCAATGTTTGTCTTTTTAGCGCAAGAGATGAGAATGAAGTTGCTTTGTGCATCAAGGAATTGAATGCTCCCAGCTTCTATCCATCTATGATTTCTCTCTGGGTTGCCGATTCTTTTGAGAGGAATGACACAGAGAGAGATCTGTTGACAAAGCTCCTGATTGGTCTTATGAAAGCTCGAGATGGAATGATAAGTCAAGATCAGCTTATCAAAGGGTATGCCTTCTCTTATTATCATGAGATGGAAACTTAGTTTGCACTTGTATATTATTCTCCATTTCACCTTTTCTTTTGGTTCGTTTCTCACTTGGGTAGGTTTGAATCTGTTCTCACCACATTGGATGATGCTGTAAATGATGCCCCTAGAGCAGCAGAGTTTCTCGGCCGCATCTTTACAAAAATCATAATGGAGAATGTCATTTCATTTTCTGAAGTTGAGAGGTTGATCTATGAAGGTGGGGCAGAGAAAGGATATCTGGTCGAAATAGGTCTTGCAGCTGAAGTCCTTGGGAGCATCTTGGAGACGATTAAATCAGAAATGGGTGATTCCGTATTGACTCAGATCCTTTCAAGCTCTAATCTGCGGCTAGAAAACTTCAGGCCTCCAGGTTCTAACAAATCTTGGAGACTAGATAAGTTTACTTAAGCTTAGTGATGCTCGTTGTATCTGGTAGAAGAAATTCATGTCTAGTTTTTTAGTATTTTTGCAGAAATATATTTCGTTCTGGGTAGATGGGGATACACTCAGGGGGTTATTTTGATATTTCAATATTATTATCCTGAAATTTAATTGCAACTGCTAAAGGTTCAATTGAGCATCATCCATCTTTTTTCTTTTTTCTCATGACGTATTGAAAATATTGTTTTCTTTTATATTTCGGTTTGGGAGGCAGACTCTGCAGCTAGATAAGTAAGTGTAATTTACATAGATATACAGTTGAGATCTGAGGCCAAAAGGTTGAACGTGAAAGAACTCTCTAATTGCTTGGTCTGGTCTCCAAGGCCTCATAAAAGCCATACCGTTAGGCTGCAGAAAGCATTCATCCTGCTGATTTTGTGTGGGTTCTAATAAATCGCGAATTAAATTTGGGACCCTTTTTTTAAATCCTGTGTATAAGTTAAGGAATTTTGTTCTATTTCTTTACTTTTTGTTTCTTTTCAAGTTTATAGACTTGGATGATAATCAGTTGCTCTGTCTCTATGATGTCAAATTTCTCCTATTTCCCTGAGCCAGTTTGACTCTTGGAAAGCTGCTTCTACCTCCCAACAAATTCTCTTCCCAGTTGACGTGAGATGCATACTGGCAGGTTAAAAGGCTGATCTATATATTATCATCAATCGTTTGTTTGTCTATTATGAATATTTTAATGTTTCCTCTCCTCTATATAAGGAGACTTCCGCCTCATTGTAAATTATCTTGGAATCAATCTTTCTTGACAAAACATTTTGTTGTACTGCATTTTCTGAATGCCAATTTAGAGCTGCTTCTGCTGCTGAAAGAGGTTGCACTGATGCAGCTGATCTCCTAGTGCTTGAGTTTTTGATTTTCCAAGAATGAGTGGAATGATCATTTTTAAAGGTTTCTAAAGGAGGAAAACTTTCTTGGGTAGGAGGATGAAATATTGCCATAGGATAAGAAGATGGGGGTGGATTATTATCTCAACCCCATTTCTTATAATATCTGCTACAATCATCATCATCCCATCTAGTAGGAATTATAGAATCATCATTTCTGGGTGGGGCCGTGTATTTGGCATAGTAATCAAATTTTCCCGATGGCCCACCAAGTAATCCAACTTCTGGATCATTATCGTAGAGAGCTTTATGTAACTTTCTTTGACTGCTTCGTTTGGATTTCCTTCTTCGAACAGGAGGGTCATCATCAATGTCTGCTGATAAGCAACTGGAGCATGAGCAAACATCCTAGAA